GCCAACACTTTGAAAATCTCCAACTCGACGCATGCAGTAACTTATACTGTAAATGTCAACTTCTATACCATTATCCGCCTTAAGCCTTCAGTTCCACCCAGAACCCTTCTGCCTGTCACTGCGCATCTACCTTGACCACTCTCCCACTTGCCCTCGCGTGACTCCATAAAATCCTCTTGTTTCTGATGCTGGCCCTCGATCCATTTGTGGATACATGTATAGCAATAAACGACGCCGGTTTGACAGGCTGTTGGAGTGACGATCTCATCGACGCAAATAGGGCACAAAGCCGAGTCGCTGGGAAATGGAATCGTGTAGACAGGGAGCAACGAGGGAGTGGCGATGGGTGCATCTTCTGCTGAAGGGATTGAGTCTCCCTCGTTTGACCCTTCTTTCTTCACTTCTGGCTTCTTCTTGCCGGAGCCTCCCTTGCCATCTGCCGAAATCACAGGCGGGGGCAAATCAACACTTTCGGTCGCTTTTCGTGAAAGTTGCTTCGCAAAATCCGACTGATACCACCATTCCAAAAACTTGAGGGCAAAGATACTTGTCGGCAGCAAAATCGACAAGCTTGACAACACCCGTGGGCCCATCTCACGGGGGTTTAACAACGACCGCCACCCAGGTCTGTGTCCTGTCTCGGGTGTCTGTGTCAAAGCCTCAATGGCCTTGTAATCTGCACCCGACATTCTTCGAATACGTGTTCCTATCAGCCACAAGAGAGGGCTGTGGTATTTGCTCCCGTCGAAGAGGTACGCCACATTGAAAGCAAGCATGGCAAAGTAATAGCCGGCATTGACGCTCGGGTATATGTTCCTGAGGAACCATCGGTAATAGTATAGGAATCGATCGCGAAGAGTCGGGTTATCTGGCATCCGCGTGTATGCCGCACCGAGAAGAGCTCTTGGCGCATTCACCTCGTAGCTTTCGTCAAGTTTCCGCTTCAGGTAAGGGATTCCTACGATGACGAGAAGATTCTTCCAGACGTCCCGGGTCGTGAGTTTCAGTGTCTCGCGCACAATATCGGGCGATGACATGCTCGCGCGTGGCACTTCGGCATGGAGACCCTTTTCGCGCTTGAGGCCGTAGAAGTTCTCTGTGAAGGAGCCGCCCCGGGTGCGCAGGTAATGCCGCTCAACGAGCAGCATGACGCCAGCATATATCTCATCGAACGAGTTTAGTATCCTTAGAAGATACCGTGGGTGTCGATGCGTCGCAATGGTAAGTAGGTAGCGGAGGGTCGGCGGGAGGAGGGCGTTGAGTTGTTGCTCAGAAAGGACTTCGAATAGAGACGGTTTCTGTTCGTCGAAGGTGCCCCGAAGGGCCGTGACAAACTCCATTGCCTCTAGGATATGCCTGGAGGATGCGGAGGATGAGTGAAGGAGTGACAATGAACGGTGATGAATTCAAGGTTGAGGATGAATGGAGATCAGCTGCGACAGGAGATCTTTAGTGGAGTGGAATTTGTTAGTGACCCCGGATTACTGTGCAGCTGCGATAACGGGTGAAGTGGATCCATCTAATGCGACTACGACATCAAGCTCAGGCTGGTAGGCCGATGGAAGTGCCTCGGCTTCTGGGGATCATTAGCTGAAACGGGGAATAATCAGCATCAAGGTTAGCGTTTACAACGGACCGAGGTATCGTCATTCAACTGGTAAAGTAAAGGCAAGCCAGATGTCAATTTCATTGTGATACCCCAGGTTTTACTTTTGTATCTTTTTGAAAGGCTCAGGCCATTTGCTGTTATACTGGCAATTCATAATCCGTCTTGATTTGGTGACTGCAATAACTTATACATTAAAAGTCAAACATGTCAGACAATCACCGCAAGACCTTGAAAGAGGGCAGTCCAGAAGAAAGAGTCAAAACCTGGTTACAGCTTTCGCAAAATGATAACGGTCATTCCAAGCAAGGAGTAAGTCCTTCACTTGTTCGTGTTCGTCTCGGATGTTGACAATAAACAACCCTAGGATTGGATGAACACCCTCATCCCTCATCTCCAGCTCGTGTCTACCAATGCTGAAGGACCTCACCCATCATGTGTATTCTCGTATACAGTTCAGCCCGATAATTGCAACAGGCTACAGAACCTGCACGGAGGTTGCGCGGCCACACTCTTTGACTGGTGTACTACATTACCCCTTGCCTTGGTGAACAAACCCGGCTTCTGGCAGCATATGGGCGTGAGCAGGACACTTAACGTCACATACATGCGACCTGTGCCCGTTGGAACAGAGGTATTGATCGAGTGTTCGATCACTCAAGTCGGCAAGAAACTGGCGTCTCTTCACGGAAGTATGAGAAGGAGGTCAGATAATCTTCTCCTAGCTACAGCTGAGCATGGAAAAGTAAATATAGATGACGATATTAAGGCTAAGATGTAGAGGAGGAACTCATGATAAACACAAGAAATAGATAAATCATTTCATAATATATATATTCTGTTATTAGGTGTTGAATACTATCAAGTAGATTTCGCTCCAGGGTAAGCTTCCGAACGACAGCCCAACACGGCGTAACCCCCACACAAGCTCCGCACGTTACCTTAAGTCCGATGCCATGTACACGCCGGAAGTAACGTCAGAACCCTTTCTATATCGTCATTACGTGGCAGCCTCATCTCATAGATTCATATTCTCTCAAAGACAACACAACCAAACCACAAGATTATCACACAATGGACGCTCCAAACGCTGCGGCGCCGATTCTGCAGCTTCCAGCTGAAATACTGCATCACATCCTACAGTGGATAGCCCCAGCCGATCTTGTTATACTGCCCCGCGTGTGTTCAGCCTTTCGTACAGTAACAAAAGGGAACCACAAATTATATCGAGATGTCTATATGAACACGCTGGTATGTATTCCCTGACGGTTCTCACAAATGCTAACAAACAGTTTAGGATGAACCAAGTAACCCAAGCCTTGACTACGAGCAAGAGATTCATGACTTTGTGAAGCTTGAAAGTATATGCGACAACCCAGAGGTAAGACAAGATAAGAGATCCATGCTTCCGTTGATGTAAGATCTAATGGACATATAGAAATCTGAGCTCGAATTTGTACATGACACAGTCACTCGTCTGCTCAAAAATGCTTCACCATCTCACGATGAGGCCATCAACCTCTCCAAGACCCATGCGCCATCGCGCAATGTCGCTCACCTTCAAAGTCTTTTCTCTCGAGACGACACTGCCGAGGCCTTCCTCCAGGCTTCATCGCTTTTCAACCGCCTGCGCCGCGCACCCACGCGAGACAGTGCCCCTGCGCCCACCTCATGTGATGACGGCTACCGGACTCTCCAGCAAAAGAGCGCCCATCTCCACTGCCTTTATTCGAGGCCTATCCTCAACGTTGGTCGGCTCCGATCTATGAAAACGTATCCCTATGCTTGCTCCAAGGTCTACGACTTGCGCCAGTTTACTCAGAACACAGGATGGGGCCCGTTCCAAGACGATGGCACTTTCAATGTTGACTGGGAAAAGGTGGAAGCCATTCTCATTGTTCTAGGCCACAACATTGGCGCAAGACGCCAGATTGTACGAATATTCTCAGAGGTTTGGGACAGCCCGTTCTCGGGTTCATTTCAAAACAGTTTTATGGCTCCTCCGCCTCGTGACATTACTTCACTCGAGGCCCGCGACCCTTATGGAGTCACAGGCACATGGTACCGCGTTCGTTGGCCCAGGATACTCCCGTATCTATTTTCTTCTCCCATGAAATCCAAGCTGACAGACCAGGTTTCAGATTGTGTGCTTTCTTGATTATAGCGATTTCTTCGCTTTCAACTTTGGTGACCCCGAACTACTCGTCACCTCCGATGCGCCGCGCCCACCACTTGATGTGGGTGAAGCAACTCGCCTTATTATGATGAAAGTCAATGTTACATCTGTAGAAGAACCAGGCCCCGAGGACGGCCAAGCGCTGCCAGTAGTTCACTTCCGTGGTGTTTCGCGTTCTTTAGACGATTCTTTTGATGACAATGCCAACTCAAATATCCGAGGTAAGTAGATTGTCTCCCTTACCAAAAGTAAACTTGAAAAGGTTCAGCCAGAGCTAACATGAGAACATTCAACGTCAAAGGCACTGTTCGTCTGACAAAAGAAGGCGAAGTGAGATGGACAACATTCTCCATCTTCCATGGTGTCGAGCGCTGGCGCAGTGAGGGTGTTCAGATTGGAGGCGTACGCTCCGCTCGAGGCGTCGTTGGAAACTGGTTCGATAGGTATAGCACCAAACACTCACCTTCTAGTAATCCACTAATGCCGAGTGCAGTGACTACGATGTTCACGGACCTGCCGGCCCCACAGCCTTCTGGAAGGGGGCGACCCTCGCTCAAGTCGCAAACATGGAGGACGACCTTCTGCCAAACGACTTCTTCTTGCCATACGGCGCTCTGATCGACATAGACTCCGAGACTGATCCGGAGGGAGAAATGCCGTACACTGGTGAAGATGACGAAGATGAAGATGAGGATGACGAAGAGATGGAGGCTGCAGCAGGAGAGGAACTGACGGCCCTACTTCACGATGCGAACTTACCTTTAGAGGAGAGTCTCGCAAATGGCCATGCCCTGAACTGATTGATTTTGGTACAATGGCGTTTGAATTTGTCGTGGAAAATATCTCATGAGTTGACGAGTCCGTTCACCTATAACTTGATTTTACACAAACAACTGGCGCAATTTTCTTCTCAGGACATTCCGCTTGAAACCATCATATTGTGCAAAACGACACAGGGGTATTCTAAAATGCAAAAGCAAGAAGCCGCATACTCCATCTAAGCAAATCATGCCGCTGAGTCCATCATATCTCATACCAATTGTAAATCCTCTGTATCCATGCGCCAATATCCTTTTATATCCGTTGTAAATGCTATTCATCCTCCTTCAAAGGACGAAGGAATATCGTTCACTTGCCGTCATAGGCATAGCCCAGCAACTCGTACAACTCTCCAACATGTTTACGCCTGCTAGAAACAAGGAGCTGAGCACCGTCATCTTAATCAATTGTTCCGCCTTGGTTAAGGATAATGCAATTGCTTAAAAGAGCTGATCCTTCATGAAGCAATTCCCAACGTGTTGTCTGAAAGCTTGTTAGTCACTACTCAGCCTTGAAGCTTACAAGAGCATACCTGAAATGTGTCTTTGAGGACCATGAGAAGAGCTGTATTCGCGTTGACCCCTGATCTACCTTGTAGTGCACCTGGACTGTCGATGCCACCGAATTTGACAAAATAGTTCCTCATGTGCTGCAGCTTCTCGTGCCTTGTGGTAGGTAGCGGAATATTGGGACAAGGTCCCTCGAGCGCAAATCCATAACTCCACACAACCAGGGCAGCGAAGTACATCACCCAAGGCCGGTTCAGGAGAACATCGTCGCGGGCGTCGTAAGGCTCATCGAGGTGGTATCCGCCCGCATGTGCTGCAGATACTTGATCTGGAGCAAGTACTGAGCAGAGGAACTTGATAGCGTAAAAGGCTGCATCTCTCGCCCTCGCGGAGTGGGCCCAGTGGTCTTTGATTCGCCTTTGAGCACTATTAAACTCTTGAGGTCCAATCGTTCGACCAAGTAGACGCTTTGCTCGTGCAAACATTTGGCAATCCACGATATCAGCATGCATGGCCATGTGTGCCAAATGATGCAAAACCGTGCGACTTTCAAATACGACGTTGAACTCCTGCCTCTTAGTAGCGTCGTCTCGATATGGGTCAGCGGCTTCGCTTCGTTCAAGATGCTTGTCAAAATCAGCTTTCCAAGTGTCATATGCTCGAGTGAGAGTAGCCCGCCATCGATCACGACCACCAAGAGCCTGGATGATGCCGCCACCCAGCACATTGACCTGAAGATCCCGCTGGTGCATGTGCCATGAGACACTCAACAGGCCTGTCATGAGCACGGTTCTGCCGAATGATGTCGTGTGGACATCTTGACCACTCAAGGTTCTCTTGAGACCCTCCAGGAATGAAGTTGGCTTGATGCCATTTGACATCAAGTTTGATTCAATCCTCCAAACTTCAGAACTACTGCCGGCTCGCCACATAGACTCGTCACAAGGAAGAGGCAGCCGCATTTCATGAGCTACCATGACTGCAGAATGACCAAACATCGTTGCATGGATCGAATCGACAATGAAGGCTGCGAATGCTGCACGCCGGGTCGCCTCATTTGTGACCCAATGCTCCCACCATTTATCAGCTGTTCCTGTCGAGCTGGACGTGGAGGACTGCCGGGACCCATTGGATACGTCACGAGGGTTTGGCGGAGAGTCCAGTGCAGACTTGCCGATCAGAGATCGTCCTCGTCGCATGAGAGTGATGGTGGTCGCATGGTGAATGTGGGCCCGTTCGTGGAGTTCTCTTGTCGCAAACATCTTTTCGTATAATTCCAGAAGAATCAAAGCCTGGAAGATCCACAGTTTAGCAGGCGGCCTGAAGCTAACGTCCATGAAGATGTCCCATCGAAGATGCCAGGCAAGAAAGTTTGAGAGCTGGGCGCTTGCTCTCGTCACATTGTGTCCATGGGTCCTGTCGAGGCAAGCCCCTCCGATGGCCATCATCGCGAGGAGCAATAAGTTCGGTGTCTTGTCAGGAGAGAAAGTAGGCTTGTGAAGAATAGGCATCTGGTCGCTGAAATGATACCAATAAGAACCGATGTAAGCCTGCATCATTCTCTTACTCAACATATGCTCGCCGTTTGATCGATCACCTTCAAGCAGATCGGCCCATTGACGATCGGGTGGAGCATGCTTGTTGTCATGGAAGCGCTCTTTGATAAAGTCGAATAGTTCTTGACTCTTTTCCTCAGATATCGTGGCTTCCGGAACTTGTTGATCAAGAAGGTTGTTGACAGCCATTACCTGCTGAGGAGCGCTTGGAAAGTATCCAAGTGAATTGCTGTCTGTGCCCAGAAGATTCATATTAAACTGATTTCCTTGTAATTCCGCATAGCTAGTTTCAAGTCAGTAAGAGTTCCGTTATGTTTAAAGACATACTGACTTGGTGTAGTTCGGGCCCATCACTGGTGTCATGGCTTGACTGGGGGAATTGAAGAGGTAAGCCATAAAGTCCTCCGGCATCCCAACGTAGGGTGACTTGTTCGAATCGCCTCCCTCTCCGAAGACAGGAACAGTTGCGGGTATGGCCATCTGATCCAGCATCATCATCTCGCTAGGCTGCGTGGTTCCTGGCTCTGAGTATTCCGCTGAAGTAACTACAGCAGCATTTTGTCCGTTGGGGTACTGAGCCGGAGGGAGGGTCATAGGCATAACGTTTTGCTGGCTGACAAAATTATTCTGCGACATATTCTGTTGATTTGGGAACCCTTGCTGATTCGCAATTGGAGACATCATGTTGAATGGTGTATTGCCGGCAGACATAGACGGCCTTTGCTGAAATGAAGGGGATTGTGGTTGGCTGAGTTGTGGCGTACGATTATCATAACCCTGGGTCGGGGACATGTAACTATCCATTCCATTTGGCAGAGCTCCATTAGGGTATATGCCTGTTGGAATGTTGTTCATGGGCGAATATGGGTTAGGAGTTTGAACTTGTGGTGTCTGATAAGGCATATTCGTTTGCTGGTGCTTTGAGTAATCGATAGAATTATTCCGACTGAAATTAGGAGGTTGAACTTGTTGGTTTGATTGACCCGGAGCTATGGATTGTGCCATGATAGAATCCCTCTGGTTGAGTTGCGAGCCCTTTGCAGCATGTCGGTCCATATGCCTTTTGAGAAGATCTCCTCTGACAAAGGTCCGTGTGCAGTTAGGAAAAGTACAGTGGTAGGTCTGTTTAGAGTTATGGTTAAGCTGATGCCGGTACCTGTCATATGTCAGCATGGAGCTCTAAGTGTCGCACAAACTCGAGACATACAGATGTTCCGCTCTTGAATAGCTCTTCCCACACCCTTCAGCACTACACTCAAACCTCTTGTCCAGGCCCTTTCGGCTCCGTCTTCGTTTTCTGGCAGGGCCAGGGCCGTCGGAGTTGGAAGATGCGCCATTTGGTCCATCTTGATTTCCTTCTGATTTTATAGCCTGGTCCGCGCCGTCATCTGCTGGTGAGCGACTTCTTCGTCGGCCGCGACCTGTAGGATCCGAAGTGTCGCGAGGCGATATATTTTGAGCTCCCATTGCGCCGGAGCTGACCGGGGATATTGGGAGGGTCGGTTTCACGTTATTTGTTATAACGGAGGCCATACCCAATGTCCGAATAGGAAGCCTATGAAGTGAAGGCGATGCGATGTTTGTGTTTGGAAAAAGACTCAGACAAAGTCCAGCCGTGCTATAAAGCGACAGGCTAAGAATCCACCAGCCAGGCAGTGGTAGGCCAAGGCTCGAGGATGACGGTTGGTAATCTCTAGAGTCGCAAAGCGTGGCAGTTGGGTCTGTCACCGAGGATAGCGGGGTCGTGATGGCTGGGGTTCGCGAAGGTGGGACTGGACGGAATTAAAATCGTATAATTACTTCTAGGACCCCTACGCAATAATAGGATATTGCAATTAACGCATGACCGAAAGGGAAATCGATGTCGTCGAGCTGGCGTGACTTGTACGTCCAAGAGTCGCGAACAACAAAAGATCGGCACGCAATTAAAAAGTCAGACTTGATCTTGGGGTCAAGCTAAGTTAATGGGGTCAATTTGGAGCTGAACTGGTTCATTTAATGTTAGCAGCGAAAGACAATGAGTGTCGCGTGTTTTTGCGGCTAATATGGAGGATGCTATTGATTGAGGTGGATCAAAGAAGACGGGCCAGCTTGGGGAAGGCCGGGATGTGGGACCATGACTGGAGACCGGAGACGGGGTGATGCCGAGAGACCATCTTAAAGTTGGTCATTTAGACGTTGTGAGTTGTCGTATTGCTGGCCTGTATATCTCATGATGTGGAGAGAAGATAAGATGCAGACGTGACAGTGGTCGAGGCGTTGTTGCGGCGCCGGGTGAGGCTTCTTCCTTTTGTCTAAGGTAACCAGGCTTGTTGTATATGACGGAGTTGACTAGAGGTCGTTGCTTATTTATGTGTAACGTTCGACAGGAACACGGAAGATTTGACTGATGAGGGACAGGATGATCCTTGAACAAAGTGTTTCGAGAAGGTATAATTCATCGTCGTCCTGCAGGCAGAGCAAAGTCGAACGACATACGGCAGGGACGGAGACAAAGGGGTTGGGCCCAGTATTGGATATGATCTAGCCAGTGGTAGACAACAACAACTCCATGTTTTTCTCGTGGCTCACATGCAATGATCCGATTCGAAGTATGCGGTGATTTCGTGGTACAAATAGACGTGCCCGAGTGTGGTCCTTGCTGTCTGAAGTGGCGCCGTTCAAGGATGAGGATGCAGAGGAGCGTATGAGACGTGAACAGAGAGAGAGGGAGAGAATTGAGTAGAGAAAGTTACATAATTACCGACCTTGAGATGAGGTTCGCAGATGTGCAACGAACGCAACACAGGTGTGACAGAAGGATGCTGGAAGCCGAGGGGTTGTAAGAGAAGAGAGAAACGGAAGACGGAACAACAGGATGAGAGCGAGGTACTCGACAAAGATACAGCCTGAGTTGATGAGTGACTTTTCTGGCTGAGATAATCAGGAACAGAGATGAAACGGGCTTACACCACAAATAAGAAACAGTAATAAGAGTTCAGGTACGCTCAGCAAAAGCAAAGCAAAGCAGTGAGTGCAGTACTCGAGATATCAAAGGGTCTCGAGTAACCAGAAGAAGCAAGTACAGGTACTGACTGTAGTCGCTATACCAAAAGCTTCATTCGCAGAGCAAAAGCGTGGGATGGACGGGACGGAACTGAAGAAAAGACTGAGCTTGGTCTGGGGAACGTGGGTGCGGGTAGAGAGTGGGGGGTCGTTGACTTTAACAAAAAGGATGGAGCCCCTCAAATGTTCAAGTCTCTCGAGTCTCACCCATCAAAATTGGATAACCAAAATCCTACCTTCGAGGCTTCGACACCTTTACTGAATTACGATACAAGGGTCTCCCAATGTCCAATCCACGCTCACCATCCTAAATGAGCCTGAACCCTTTTCGTACCATGTCTTTGCCTTCTCGGTAAAGCGTCCGTCTCCTCCTCCACTTCGCTTCTCCACCCTCGCCTCTCTCCATGCAACCTCCATATCCCTGCGCAAACTACTAGCGCAGCCTCATTCACATCTTTGATGTCCGACCTGCCGATGACTTTTGCTGATCATGGAGAGATACAAGGCGGTAAAATGCGTGCTGTAGATTCCTCCAGTCTTGGTAAAAGCTCAGAGGAGTATTCCACAAGTGAGGGCTTTCAAGCAATGTACGAACTCATATACCAGGTTGTGAGGACCCTTGCTCCGGGGAGGATGACTGCACAGGGATATCGCGCTTTGTCGATGTGATAACGTCTGTTCACATTTTGACCGGGCATCCATGATCAATCTCTTCACTGAGGACTTCTTTAGGTGAGCACTTGGGCTCGGCACCTTGGCAGTTCACCGAGAGCTGAGATCCATTGCGACATGCATAGACACCAACAAGTGTGACTTTCTAGTTACGTACGTTTAGCAGACATGGCCAGAAATAATTCGTAAGGCTCGAGGCCTTGTTGGTTCGATTTCGTGAGACATTTCATGGGTCCGACCAACCAACATTACAGCTCAGGAGGTGGACATGACTTCTTCATCGACCCCAATATCAATCAATGTTTACCCAATCTGGCATAACTCCAGCCTGGGATTCTCAACCACGTCCAATAACCGCTGACAATGAATGGCGCCTCACGATCTCTCGGACCACTCACCCCGTAGCCAAGTTGGGTATGATGGGAGCCGACATCTCACGGGCCACTCCGGGCTCCCATTTGCGCTGTCACGCTGGCATTATGTATGTACACCAGCCCTTGCGTGATGCGATGATGCTAGCCTGCGGGCCGCCTTAGGCTCACTTTCGTGTGTCATCAGCTTTTTAATGGTGGCATGAGCAGTGCGCTTCATCCAGGAATATCGGGGTGGGGAGATGGCCAACGCTCCAGGACGGACGCGTATCTGAGGTAGCAATACTCGGTACGTAATCCTTTAAACTCGAGCCGGGCTCATGTTATCTATGCTCTAATTAGGAGGCATCGGCAATCTGACTCCTCAATTGCTTGAGTTGGAGAATCGTAGCAAAAAGACTTTCGTCAACCGTTTCAACTCTGACAATCTTCAACATAAAGGTTGTCGATCATTGGATCCACAACGTGAATCGACTCTTGGGTATAACAATAATGCACCAGCTTATTCTTGTCTCTCTGTCTCTTTGCTTTTGATACCCTAAACATAAACAAGAGAAAACCTTGGTATTCTTGATCATGTTTCAGTCACTGGGTTCATCAAGCATTCTGGAGATTAAGCTATCTGTACTCCCATAAGTCAAATCCAAAAGCTGTGAAATTACCACATGTAATAATGACACTATCAAGATCATAGGCTGCAGTCGCCATGTCATCGACTACATATCAATTACAATAGATGCTAGCAAGAATGATTCAATGGCTCGTTCTCTAAACTGATTGTCAATTTTACGTAGTAATAGAAAGAGACCTGCTTTTGTTCATCAACTCCTAGGAAATCGACCAAAACTTATGATAATGGCAACCCATCAACTACAACATGACACCTATCCTAATAGGTACTCAAAGTTGTGCATGTTTCTCAAAACTAAGACACTTTTTGAGACTTGTCAACTTTCTGAGCGCTAACAGGTCGCCTGACAAAAAAAAACCCGGGTTTTTCGCAATAATGCTTCTCCACAGCGGCTGATACATCTGGCTGGGGATTGTATTGGCTCGCATCACCTCCGCCTGCAACTATTTCCTCAGGTATGCAGGTCCCTCCCCTATGTAAGCGGCCCTAATTAGCCATCTCCTTGTCCAAACTCTTGGGCCTTATCTCAGGGACTCTTTATTGGCCGTGAAACATGCAGGCGCTGAGTTCCATTCACTCATGGAAATCTCAAGATCAACGTAATGGATTGCGGAGTAGATAGGCATAGGCTATAGGTGACCTGCAGGCTATGGTCTGGAGTCCGGGGAAGATCCCTACACCTGGAGATGCCCTATCTGTGAACAATCTGGTCGAATATACACATGGTGTCACAATTTTCTTTTACAAACGTCTTGCTCAACACTCCCAGAGTTCCACCTGGCGGGATCGCCCATGTCGTCCCACAAGACATGACATTTTGCCTCATGCATGAACTGGTAACACACAACACCGTGTCGAGTCTCTTCTCATCGAGTCTGATCGATTGCCCCTCGTGAGGCTGGAATTACGACAACATGCACGACCATCGGCCAATAGATCCAACAACGACGGAGTACGACGTATACCGCTCTCGACCGAGACGCCATCGTCGGTGATCCTTCGAGCAAGTTGCAGTAGCCTTTCATCCTTGAGTCTGCAGCTGTTGGGTCTGAACAGCCTATTCGGTGAGCCAGAAATGGAAAGCCAGGTCCCTGGAACAACCCTCCATGAACTAGCACTCATCACAGCCCAATAGCAGAGGATATTGAGATGTTTCGACCACTGCCATCAGCCAAAGTGATACTTTATCCACATGATTTGAGGGTCCTGCGTGTTGACAATGTGAATCGATCGGTAGTTACAGCGCTGTATTCCATGCGGCCGGATCACAAAGTGGAGTGATGGGTTTCTAGATCTCCGGTTCCAAGGCGATCACTGAGACTAGGACGATGCCGCGCTCTGCGATGTACCAGTGACGAGTGATGGATTGGTTTGAATCACTAGTAGTCAAGCTTTGCTGCGTGGGGGTGGTTTCTAGTCTGGACAAGGTCCCACATAGAATGGGCATATGGGAGTCTCGTGACGACCCTTGGGCTCAATGACCTGTAGACTGAGGCTGTCGCACTGGGTCATCATAAGTTGATGATGTCGTTCCAAGATTTACTATGCGCTGTTAAAGCTGCTTATTAGCTCCAGACTGTTGAGTCTTCGGAGATACTCCGTCGAACCTGGATCCCTGAGACTTGGTTGTTGTATCATGGAACGGAAGTCTTGGTACTCCGTACTTTGGGCACACGATCAGTTCACGATGACGAGTGGTAGCGACATCGGTCCAACCATAATGATGCAGTAAACGACTCAAACACATG